GTTGTATCTCGGCCAAATATTGTCCTATCCTAACAAACCATACATCAATGGAAAGATTGTTTATTCAGCTTTCAGATGAAGTATACATCTCAGTTTTGAAAAATTTACTCAACACTGGTTTTATGATCCAGGGTCACATATGACCCAACAAATATTTTGTTTTTTTCATTTTCAGAGTGTTTTGCATCCATGCATGCACCATGAGAACCACTGTCCAAAAATGTAAAGCAATAGTTCAAAAATGATTTACACTTGCTACTGTCATTCTAAACCGGTTTGACTTTCTTTCTTTTTTTAAGTGCCTTAGTGTTTTTTGTTCATACAATTAAAGTCAACGGGAGCTGGTAACTGTACGGACAAAAACAGTAGAAACATTCTTCAAAATATCTAGTAATATTTTGTGTACTGTCCCTTTAACTAAGTAAAATGGTGTCACCTTCCCCCCTTTGAATGTTTTTTTAATAAAATATTTTAACTTAATAATTTGATGATGCTTTCAGCTGCCAATAAGAGTGCTGTAGCTCCATTTAACACTTTTACCATGTTTGAATTTCAGTTCAGAAAATGCAAAAACAATCAGTAGCTTCCTTCTGACGAGGTACTTTTAGAGGGAAATATCTGCCAGAAGTGCTTCCGATCTAAATGTCCAATTCATAGTGACACTCACAGACTGGTAAAAAGTTGTAATTGGGATGTTTTCCATTAGTTAAAGACACTTCAGTGTTTAAGAAAGTGGTGGCTGACCATGCAAAACCTAATGCTAGAGAGATTGATCAAGTGTTTTTAGTGCATTGCTATGCAGTTGCATGTGGAAAAGATCGCCCAAAAATCATTAGGATATTAAGTAAAGATCATGTTCCATGAAGATATTTTGTAAATGTCCTACCGTAAATATATCAAAACTTAATTTTTGATTAGTAATATGCATTGCTAAGAACTTCATTTGAACAACTTTAAAGATTTTTTTTTTGCACCCTCAGATTCCAGATTTTCAAATAGTTGTATCTCGACCAAATATTGTCCTATCCTAACAAACCATACATCAATGGAAAGATCATTTATTCAGCTTTGAAAAATTTACTCTTAACACTGGTTTTATGATCCAGGGTCACATATGACCCAACAAATTTTTTTTTTTTTCCATTTTCAGAGTGTTTTGCATCCATGCATGCACCATGAGAACCACTGTCCAAAAATGTAAAGCAATAGTTCAAAAATGATTTACACTTGCTACTGTCATTCTAAACCGGTTTGACTTTCTTTCTTTTTTTAAGTGCCTTAGTGTTTTTTGTTCATACAATTAAAGTCAACGGGAGCTGGTAACTGTACGGACAAAAACAGTAGAAACATTCTTCAAAATATCTAGTAATATTTTGTGTACTGTCCCTTTAACTAAGTAAAATGGTGTCACCTTCCCCCCTTTGAATGTTTTTTTAATAAAATATTTTAACTTAATAATTTGATGATGCTTTCAGCTGCCAATAAGAGTGCTGTAGCTCCATTTAACACTTTTACCATGTTTGAATTTCAGTTCAGAAAATGCAAAAACAATCAGTAGCTTCCTTCTGACGAGGTACTTTTAGAGGGAAATATCTGCCAGAAGTGCTTCCGATCTAAATGTCCAATTCATAGTGACACTCACAGACTGGTAAAAAGTTGTAATTGGGATGTTTTCCATTAGTTAAAGACACTTCAGTGTTTAAGAAAGTGGTGGCTGACCATGCAAAACCTAATGCTAGAGAGATTGATCAAGTGTTTTTAGTGCATTGCTATGCAGTTGCATGTGGAAAAGATCGCCTCAGAGATCTTCTGGCCTGTAGATGCGACTCGATTCCTCCTACATTGTGCGTCTATTTTTCACCTGTTTTATTGTCCCTCTGGTGAATATCTGATCTGAGCACTTTTTAAATGCATACATTGGTTCTTACCACAATCTTTTCAGCTAACAATTCAAAGAACTCCACTGAAATGCATCCTATTATTAATCATTAAATGCTCGTGTTAGCAATGGTGATAAAATGCAGATCAATGCAGCACAACACAGAACTGCACCGATAGACATTGTGTGAGCGACTTTAATGCAACAACAACCAGGATAAAATTTCACTGATGTTTAAATAATAGGTTAATAATAAAAAAGGCTGCTCAAAAGAAACTAGTCAGAGATCTCGATATTTGACCTCGATTGATGCTCCTCAGTTTTTGACTAAAAAAGCATTATTTGTGGAAAACTTTGGCAAAATTTACTCAAAAACTGAGTTCAATGAGGCCTACAATCAACCAGTTAAAATTGATGCTATGTGAAAGAATACAAGTTGATAAAAAAAAGATTGACTTCAAGATTTGGTAATAATATAGCAATTTTAGTAGGCATTTTTAACTGGGAAGTTCACAGTCAGTATGTTTTAGTCCAATGCCATAACATTAACTGTGCATTATCAGCAAAAAGAAAATCCTCTCTGGGTCAAAATGACCAGAACACAACACGAGGCTTGAATACTGCAAGTGCATTACACACAGATCTGTTTATAAATACCCTGCAATTTTTCCAATTACAAACGTTGTGCAGATATTAAATCCTTCAGCAGGGTTTGACCTTTAAGACTCATGACAAGATGAATTACTCTGGTGCCAGCATGCGTTCAACGCATTCAGACGCCGACGTGCACATCCACTGCTGCCATATAATGCTATTGGATATAACAGTTCAGTGCCAATTTGTATGATGAGTAATAAGTTAGAATGCAAGTGACCAGATATAATTAAGTGAATGCAAACATCAGTGTTACTATTACTCAGAGTTAGTGATCTGAACTGCATTTGTGCTGTAGAAATGAATGGAAAAAATGTCAATGCATTTTTACTGGAAATGAATGTTCAAGGCATAATTATGAGGTTTGTCTTTTATGCACAAAACATATTTTTATGTACCAAACTATGTCCATCAAAATACTCCTTGTGTGTGCCAAGACCGAACTGTCTCTCTGTGTTAATTTCCCAATTATAAGAACCAAAGTCTGGGCACATCAGATGGCAAAGATTGCAAACTCAAGCAGAGAATAAAACTGTGGCGTAGTGGTTAAAGGTTTGGCCCAGAAACTCACAAAACTTTAGATTTGAAGAGTTGATTTATCATCAAAACTAGGGATGTAACGATGCAACCCAAAATCAATAAAAATATGTGACCCTGCAGCACAAAAGCAGTCATAAGTCGCTGGGGTATATTTGTAGCAATAGCCAACAATACATTGTATGGGTCAGAATTATAGATTTTTCTTTTATGCCAAAAATCATTAGGATATTAAGTAAAGATCATGTTCCATGAAGATATTTTGTAAATTTCTTACCGTAAATATATCAAAACTTAATTTTTGATTAGTAATATGCATTGCTAAGAACTTCATTTGGACAACTTTAAAGATGATTTTCTCAATATTTAGATTTTTTTGCACCCTCAGATTCCAGATTTTCAAATAGTTGTATCTCAGCCAAATATTGTCCTATCCTAACAAACCATACATCAATGGAAAGCGTATTTATTCAGCTTTCATATGATGCATACATCTCAATTTCAAAAAATTTACCCTTATGACTGGTTTTGTGCTCCAGGGTCACATATGTGACAATTCAGGTCGGTTGAGATGCAAAATTAATCGCAATACAGTTAGGGGTGTCTCTGACTGTCTTCAGAAAAGTTTACATGGTATTTTCTCCATCTTGCCTCTGTATAATAGTAAAGTAGTGTTTATAAGGGCGGCGCTGCTTTGTTTACAGCTGCAAACTGAGAAAATGCTATATGGCTGCTGTTCCATAAGTGCCACCTACTGTCTGAATGTAAAATTGCATCTCATTCAGCCCGTCTGCTGTTTTAGTTTCATGCAGATGTTTTATGTATAGCATAATCTCACAAAGCTATAATCAGACCATTCTGTTTTTGATTCAAATTTTTAAAATTATACAATATAATTTAGATTAAAAACGGCTCATGCTGCATTTATGTCGAAGCAAAGCTTACCTCATACGTCATCCGCCCGGAACTGCTTCCGTGTACAACAGTGAGCGCAAGCTAGATTAAAGTGATTATGTTTTGAATATGGATATTTTTCTTACAAAAACGCATGGATTCGCTACAGAAGGCCTTCGTTCGCCCCCCAGAGCCGTGTGAGACACTTTTTTATGGATGGGCGCTTTTTATTTAACTTCTTTTGGACTGATGCATGCAACACCCGCTGAGTGCCATGAAACAGCTTGAAAGATCAAAGACCATTTTTAATATAACTCCGACTGGATTCGTCTGAAAGAAGAAAGTCATATACACCTAGGATGACTTGAGGGTGAGTAATTCATGGGCTAATTTTCATTTGTGGGTGAACTAATCCTTTAATGTTATCACATTGGAGTAAAACTTACTGACTTTGCTCACACAGGGTAAAACAACTTCCCAAAAAATTGATAATTTTTTTAATTTTTGGTGATTTTTTTTCTCTCACTTTGTTACAGGTGTTTCTAGTCAAACATGACCAGCCTACTTGTTATGCTATATTATTACCAAATCTTGGATTCAATCTTTTAAGCAACTTGTTTTCATTCAATTAGCACAGGTTTTGTGTTTCTTTTTGGAGCTGATTGATCTGATTTGAGCTCATCCACTTCAGCTTTTGAGCGAAAAATGCATTATTTGTGGATAATTAATTGTGGAGACCTACGATCAAGCAGTTCAAAAAAGAAATACAAAACCTGTGCTAACTGAAAAAAAAGTTGATAAAAGGATTGAATCGAAGATTTGGTGATAATATAACATAAGAGATTTACAAACAATTTTTAACACCAAATTAGCTAAAGGATGAATTATCTGCACAGCACAAGGATTAAATGAGTAATTATATTCAACAAAAACAACCATCTGATAATGAAACACAAGCCAAAAAATGTGTATTTAAGATCATTTTAATTTTATATATATATAGTTTTCTACTTTGTGTAATTATTTCAATCCATCATAAATCCGTAATTTACAATATTTACACATTGTACAATAACCCGTTTCATTTGAAACAATATTAAAATAAATGTTCAGAAAAGATATCTAGTTCTCTTTATACTTTTACAGCATTTCCAGGGAGTCCTTTACGACTCATTTGTAAAGCCATTTTCTTCTAATTATTTAGTGCAAATTATTTTTCACTCTTGAACAGAAGTATGATTGCAGCATCCAGCGCTGATGGAGCGAAGCATCACGCCGTTACCGAAACGCATCCGCTTTTGTTCCAATGCAATTATGAGAAAAACACAGTTTCAACAATCAGTGCAAAACAGCTTCGGACTGTCTGTTTGTTCTGAGCTCTGAAATACAGCAAGACAAACGACCCAAGTGGGAACGAAACTAATTACTGAAAACACTGAACATCAGTTTGATTCTCAAAACCTGCAGAGAACATCATATTTCACCCCAAATGATCATTCGTTTTCATTATTTTCAAGACAATTACACATATTTCCCCAATTATCAGTAGCTTAGTGAAAAACATTGTAATACAGTATTGAAAACCACCGTTTGGACAGAATTATTTTGCTTTTAATTAAACTCAGCATACATTATATACTATTATGGTACTTACAGTTGTACTTCGCAATATATTGCATCACAGTAACAAGAATTAGACTGAAAATGTGTTTAATTGTCATGAAAATAATGCATAAAACCTTTACGGTCCTAAAAATAGGCTTCATTTTGTTTATGCAAAATATTTTAGGGTGAAATATGATCTTGACAGGCTTCGGCGTGAATAATAAATGCGTGTTCCTCAGCAAACATGATATAATGCGTCTGAAGGTCCAGCTATACGACCGTCCCGCTGGGAGAGTTGTCTTGGTTTTGGGATGACAACAGACCCTAAAGAGACAAAAAAAGAGGACAAGTGAGGTTTTTTGACAGAAATTAATACTTTTATTCAGCAGTGATGCATTAAATTTATCAAAAGTGCCAGTAAAGACATTTATAATGTTTCTATTTCAAATAAACGCTGTTCTTTTTAACTTTCTATTCAGCTGTGAATCCTGAAAAATAAAATGCATCACAGTTTCCACAAAAATATTAACTGTTTTCAACATTGATAATAATCAGAAATGTTTCTCGAGCAGCAAATCAGCATATTAGAATGATTTCTGAAGATCATGTGACACTGAAGACTGCAGTAATGATGCTGAAAATACAGCTGCACATCACAGAAATAAATTACAGCTTAATATAGATTCACATAGAAAATGGCTATTTTAAACTGTAAAAATATTTCACAATTTTTACTGTATTTTTGATCAAATAAATGCAGCCTTCTTTCAAAAGCATTTAAAAAAAATCTTACCCACCCCAAACTTTCAAATGAATAGACAAATATAGTCATTTTAAATCTTGTGTTGCCAGAAGAGAGTACATTTTAAATATGTCTATGCACTAAAAGTTAGCTGTGTCAACTTACTGTGTCAAATAATTGCTTTTCCTAACTGTTTTCACCTGGTTGAGTCCTAAACCCTTTGGTTCAGAGATCAGATGTTTGTTTGGCAAGAACAAAACTTGGCACCATGACCACAATGTTCACAGTCGCCTCAAAACTTTAATATTAACACAAATGCACACTAAAAAGTGATTTTCAACCAGTGATGCTCTATTTAATGCAGTAAACTGAAGCATATGGCAAAAAGCTTCAGTCTTTGGCACAGGGGACTGTAAGTAAATATAACAATTAGCTGAAAATGTGCTCACCCTCAGGCCATACAATATTAGGATGAGTTTGTTTCTTCGTCAGATTTGGAGAAATGTAGCATTGCATCAGTGTCTCAGCAATGGATGCTCTGCAGTGAATGGGTGCCGTCAGAATGAGAGTCCAAACAGCTGATAAACACATCACAATAATCCACAAGTAATCCACAGCACTCCAGTCCATCAATTAACATCTGGAAAAGACAGAAGCTGAAACTAATCCATCATTAAGACGCTTTTAACTAAATTATGAATCTATAATCCATAATAACGCTTCCTCCAGTGAAAAAGTGCATCTGCTGTTGTCTCTCACATCAAAATCCAGCCACATATTTGTTTAGAGCTGTTTAAACGCTGCTTGATCTGTGCAGATTTCTCTCCTGAAATCAGCTAAAGGGAATGTTCTCAGAACGTTCTGACAAGGTTCTCTCAACATTATGAACAAACGTTCTTCCAGTAACATTAATAGAACATTAATTCAAAGTTATCTGGTCTTTAATAATGTTCTCAAAACATTATTTATACATTGTTCATGGAACTTTTTTACTTAAATGTTTCATTTTGGATGTTCATCTAAATGTTCAAATGTTACACTTGTTTCGGAACATTCAGAGAACATTCAAAAGTAACATTCCCATAATGTTTGCAAACGTATTAAATGGAACATTCCCCTAACTTTTCACATAACCCAAATAAAACGTTTTTAAAAAAACTGGACATTTCAGAAAACATTCAGAAATTATGTTTTCATAACTTCATGGGAATGTTACCAAAACTTTCTTAGAACATATTTTTTGGTAATGGATTATGGACTCGTATTTGAGTTAAAAACGTCTTAATGCTGGATTTGTTTCAGCTTTTGTCTTCTCCAGATGTTAACTGATGGACTGGAGTGGTGTGGATTACTTGTGGATTATTGTGATGTTTTTATCAGCTCTTTGGACTCTCATTCTGACGGCACCCATTCACTGCAGAGCATCCATTGCTGAGACAGTAGCTGTTTCCATCCAAAGATGTGATTTAAACTTGTGCACAAAACTGGAATATCACAAAACATTTGCGAATAAATAATGCACCATTTCCATCCAACGAGTCAAAGAGAACAAAATTGTCACTTCCTGATAAACTGGCACAATATATCACCAAGAAAAGTAGGAGAAGTCAATGTATATAATAATTTTCATATATATTAATTGTGCCTCAGAGCGAGCAGACGAAGCACAATAAATGCAGTCATTGCTTTCAGAGGTGGATGCTGCTGTTTGGAAACACAGTCTTGTAAGACAATTATACAGAAATACTTTGACAACAGACTTTCCTCAGGCATTTCAGAACGACCATAACAACATTTCAGATGCTGTGAACGAGACCGTCCCATCGTGCAAAGTCACATGACTTTTTTTGATGCGCATTTTGATTTATTCTGTAAATGTGTTTCCATCATAGTTTATGTGCATTTTTTCTTATCGGATAAAAAGTCTATCCAACTGAATTGTGCGCATACGTTTTTAATGCACATTTTTTAAATTCATGCGCATCTTGGCGTTTCCATCTAGCGTTTTTTTTATGCGATATTCCAAAATGCGCATAAAAATAGGTGGATGGACACATAGCTAGTTAGTGTAGGGCGATTTCCCCGATTTTATCGATTCATTCGAATGTAATGTTTTGCCACGATTTATTTTGAATAGAAATATTACCAAATGTTAGAATTAGAGTAGACACTTTGACAATATGCCGGTGATAACAGTAAAGAGAAAAGAACAATCCAACCGCATGTCGGTGCACGTGATTATATATAGCGTTAAGCGCCATTCACACAGAATGAGCTTTTGTGTTGATAAAGATGCGACGCAGCAGTGGAATAGCAAGCACATGCAACAAGATGGGAGTGAACTTCTCTTAACTTGCTGCAGTGTTTTTAGAAAGCTGCTTCATGCAAGAGACGCGAGAGCAACAGTCAAACAGTCCATGTTTACACAGAAAACACAATGGAAAAGCAGTGCAAGCGAATAATAAAACCTGTGAAGAACTATTACTGTACATCTGATATTTCATGTTTGCATCATGCTGACAGACTGAAAGCTGCTGTTGTTTTACAGAACATTTATAGTTAATAATACTCTGCTGTTATACCTTCAGTCATTTTGAATTTGAATTACCTTGACTTCTGAGATTTTTTAAAAGCATTTTCCTCGTATTATTTCTGAACACATAATATGTATAAGACACGTTTGTACAATATGTAGTTGTAGCTCATGCATCTTTTCTGCAAAGATATTTAACAAGCGATTTGTCTAACATTTACATCTTCATGCGTGCTGCAATTTTCGTTAACTAGAGGGTTAATAAAGAAAAAGTAACTTGAATCATGTTGTAGTTACATTTTCAAGTTGACTAGTTAAAAATCGTAAAAAATCAATAATCGGTCAAACGTTCTGGAAAAATCGAGATTTTAATTTTTTGCCAAATCGCCCCGCCCTAGATGCAATGCTACATTTCTCCAAATCCGATGAAGAAACAAACACATCTACATCTCGACTGGAACATTTTCAGCACATACTAATAACATCGCACACTAAACTCAACCCAGAAGTCACTACTCACCACTTTTCCAGGCCGCGCCCACGTGCAAACGAATCCCTCCTGGCAGGCAGTGACCAAACAGTCCTCGAGGAAAATCAACACCGTGAGTCTCTCATGGGAGATTTTCTTACAAACCAGCGGCTCCAGCAGCGGGATTTCCTCCATGCGCGGACACGAGGTCGTTCCCAGCATCTTCGCGGTGTCCGTTTTAGCCGCTCGCGTGCCGATGATCTGGTTGAGCTTGTCGCTGCTCTTGTTGCTGATGTAGCTTATGCTGTGATTGCGTTTGTGCTCCTTTTCCTGATTCCGCTCCTTACGCGCTTCGTGCAAAGCTAACGTCGCGAATTTGCCGACGCCTGTCGCGATCAAAGCGCTGTCTACGATGCTGGCCGGTTTGTTGCTGTTCGGGCTGCTGCTGAAACTATTCGAGCGCGGTAACGAAGAGTTCGCGCTATTGTTTCCATTAGTGCCGGTTTCCGCGCTCATTGCATTCGTTTGAGTCCTCGTTCTGGATAACGGAAACAGAACGTCTTCTGTAAGGTCCCATAAGCATAGCTGAGTGTCCTGGCCGACCGAGCCAAACCGGTACGTCACGCTACCGTTCGTAGAGTTTTGTTTGGATAGTCCAGATTGCGCGCTATTCGCACGTTTGCGATTTCCGTTGAATTGCGCGTTGTCATGGAAGTCTTCGTCGCTTCCGCTAAACTCCGCCAGCACTTTGCAATCCTGAACGCTAGTGATGCAATGATCGAACGCAACGACGCTCACCCACGATTTGTGCCCTCGTCCGCGAGCGACGACCCTGGCGTCCGAAAACGACCAGACCGTAACGAGATCGTCTTCCCCGCCGGTTACGATGAATCGTCCGTCCGGGCTCCAGCAAACGCACAGTAGCCCACCGAAGTAGCTTTTCATTGTGCCTCGCAGCTCTGTCGCGTCAAAGCTGAAGACGCGAAGGAATCCATCCTGACTGACACAGGCCAGAAACTTCCCGTCGGGCGAGAAGGCGAATTCGTTAACCGCGCCTTCGCCCACCGTCCAGCGGAGGAGAGGATTGTGGGCCGATTTGCTCTTGCCGGTGTGAACGGCGTAGCTCTCGCCTTGCTTTAGGAGCTGGTAATGCGGCGGAGTCGTTCCACAGGTGTGCTCCACATTGTACAGGTACAAACATCCACTGCTGTGAGCCACCAGGAACAGGTGCTCTGAACCCGGCACCCACTTTAAACACGTCACCGCCGACTTGTCGATTAGTCTCTGTTAGAACAGAAACAAAAAAGAGCGAAACAGAATTACAAAAGATGCAAAAAAAGGTTGTTGCCAACTATACATAAACAATAAATAAAAATCTTAATAGTCCTAAAATAGATTTAATTTTCTTAATATAAAATATTATTTATTTATTCATTCATTTTACTTAATTTAACAATTTATTTCTAATATATATATATATATATATGCATTAGTGCTGTCAAACTATTAATCGCGAATAATCGCATACAAAATAAAAGTTTTTATTTGCATAATATATGTGTGTACTGTGTATATTTATTATGTATATATAAATACACACACATACAGTATACATTTTTTAAATATTTACATGTATTTACATATAATTTATATTATAAATAAATATATTTAATATAGAAACATAACATATATTTGTGAAATATATACATGCATGTGTGTGTATTTATACATACATAATAAATATACACAGTACACACTCATATATTATGCAAACAAAAACTTTTATTTTGGATGCGATTAATCGCGATTAATCATTCGACAGCATTAATAAATATATCAAATTTAGCATTTTAACATAAAAGCCTTAAATCACATTATTATTACTGTTTGTTTGTTTTTTACTGTGACTTGATGGTCATAACATAAAATGTATTTCATTTTCTTTATGTAAAATATCATTAATTTTATTTATTAATTTTATGTAATTTCACAAATTTTAAATATATATTTTTAGAATTTATGCAAAGACAATACAATTTAGCAAATTAAGATAAAAGCCTTAAATCACATAAAAAAAAAATGTAACACTCTTATGTGTAGCTCAGATCACTGACTTCACAACAAGGTTAAATCCGTGTTGTTGCAAAAAATAAAATAATAATAAAGGTTCTTAAATAGATTACATTTTCTTAATGTGAAGTATAATTTATTTATTTTGAAAAAAAATTTAAATATGCATTTAATTCTATTAGAAAGACAATCAAATTTATCTTCTTTAACATAAAAACCTTAAATCACTTAATTTTCTTTTTAATGTCATTTTCAGTCAGAAACCCAAAGATTTGATCTAGTCCAGATCACTGACTTAACAACTAGGTTAAAACTGTTTAGGTTTAATCTTAAACAAAGTAGTTGCTAGAATGGAGTTCAGGACTCACGTCTTCATTAAAGAGTTTGCTGGTTTCCTTTTTGATGGGGTCAATGAGCTGTACTTGCCCTGCAGAAAAGCCCACCAGCAGCGAGACGCTCTCCGCCGTGGCTGTCAGAGCATTGGAGTCGTGACACGTGGGAAGCGTTCCCTTATATATCCGCTTGTCTACGGGTTTGCTCAAGTCAGCGGCCTGGTGACATCAGAAATAAGCAGCAATTTAATATCTTCACATGCATGATGTTAGGCTAAAGAAAGCATGATTTGCAATTAAAGATCTTGGTCTCATCACTGATCAGTTAATGCACACACATGATCTGCATCTGAATCAGTTAATGCACAGTATATTCTGGGCTGCACTTAAAATTATTTGCAAATGATGCTGTAAACACAAATTATGGAATAATATTATTCAGGACCCTTTGCAACATCATGCAACAGGTTACCCACCCAAAACCTCATGCATTCGCCAAAATCTGCATGTAAAATTACAGAGTGCATAGGATATTTTAGATGCACTTTAGGCTACATGTTAATGGTATCGTAAACACAATAGTTTGCACTCAACAGCCTTTTCAACATAATGCAACAGGTAACCCACCCCAAAACTCATGCATAACTATCTATCTGTGCAAAAAATCAGTGAATGTGCATTAGCCTATTATAGGATGTATTAGTATATAAACTGCGCTTTGAAAAGTATTTACATAAAGTTAAGTGTAAATGTTAGCCACCTAACCATTAAACATAAACCCTGGACCTGCCCTAATGCAGTTAATGCATAGTGTATTTTAGGTTGCATTTACATAAATTATTTGTAAATGATGCTGTAAACATAAATTATGCAACAGGTTACATACCCCAAACCTCGTGCATATGCCAAAATCTGCCTACAATAACAGAGTGCATAGGATATTTTGGATGCACAACACAAAAGTTTAGACTTAACAGCTTTTTCAACATAACGCAACAGGTAACCCACCCCAAAACTCAAAAGTAAAGCTCTCGGCCCACATTGAAACAAGCCTTTGTAACACAATGCAACCTCAAACATGCATAACTCTAGATCTGCTCCAAAACAATGACTACAAACTATGTTCTGGATTGCAACTGTATTTAAACATCATGCAACAGGGTTCCCACTTTAACCGCATGCATAACTCTGGATCTGCTGGAAATCATGGAATGCACGGTGTGTTTACATGCAACTTGAGTTGTAAACATTACATACACAGAGTGCACAGTCTAACGCTTTTCTTGACCAATGCACACTTATTTTTGCACATGCATTTGTCAGTTTTATTGGCATAAACTCATTTAAAGCTGATGAAAGAGTCCCAGCAGCTGTCATCATGCCGTTACCTTCCTGACGCCTTTATAAATGTAAAAGTAAAGCTCCCGGCCCACATTGAAACAGATTCTCTCGCCGTTACCGGACTGATCGTTCACGTTCACGAACGAGACTTTCACCGGGTTCGAGCCCTGCGAGTTGAACGACACGCGGTTCGGCCGGCTGTACTCGGAGTTCGGCAAGAGTTTATAGACGCCCTCCCGTGTGCTGAATTGAGCTTTAATTTCGTTCGCCTCCTTCCCACCTCCCTCCGCCGCCATCTTCCTCATTAGTATTCATTCCGCCTCGTGCACGAGCATGCGCGCGCCCTCTCTCCTCCTCTGCGCGAGACCGCCAGCGCTGCGCGTTCACGCGACTTAGGCGAGAGGTAAAATCGTGGTTTTGAAAATTTGGCAAATAAATATACAGCAAAGGATACAGAAGAAAGACAGCTGTTCTATCGTTGCAATATACAAAAAAACAAAAAAAAATTCCCAATTCTATATATCTAATATATAGAATTCTATAATTCTACATTTAAAGAGGTCATATGATGCGATTTTTTCGTTCGCCTCCTTCCCACCTCCCTCCGCCGCCATCTTCCTCATTAGTATTCATTCCGCCTCGTGCACGAGCATGCGCGCGCCCTCTCTCCTCCTCTGCGCGAGACCGCCAGCGCTGCGCGTTCACGCGACTTAGGCGAGAGGTAAAATCGTGGTTTTGAAAATTTGGCAAATAAATATACAGCAAAGGATACAGAAGAAAGACAGCTGTTCTATCGTTGCAATATACAAAAAAAAAAAAATAAATTCCCAATTCTATATATCTAATAGGATATAGAATTCTATAATTCTACATTTAAAGAGGTCATATGATGCGATTTCAATTGTTCCTTTCTCTTTGGAGTGTTACAAGCTCTTGGTGCATAAAGAAGATCTGTAAAGTTGCAAAAACTGAAGTCTCAAATTCAAAGAGATATTCTTTATAAAAGTTAAGAGTCAGCCACACCTACCTAAAACGGCTCGTTCTA